TTGATGTTGCAACTAGCACTAAATGAAGTTCTAGTTCGAAGTTCAACTAAAGTAATAATACGGGCGTAAAGTTCCGCCGATTTAGTCTTGGCCTAAAACTAAATTTAGCCCGCCTTCGAGAATACCACTTTCAGATAGTCCTGGTTTAAATCCAGATTTAGTTAGTCCGCTTTCGAGAAGCATGTCGTTGCCAAGTTGTTGCTAACAAAAAAAAATGTAAATAACTAGAATTACTATGTCTGTTTGAACAACGGTACATAGGGCTTTTCCAAATTGCTTTAATTGGAAATGAAGTTGAAATTGCAACAAAAAGAACAGTCGTTAAAAGGTATAAAGTAAACAAGAACACGGAAAACCAATATAATTTTAATGAAGTGGAAAAAATGCAGTTGGAAAAAAAGAAAATTTCATAGCGATTCAATAATTGAAAGCAAAAATTGTTCATGCATATCACTGTAGTTTTGAGTTTAACCTGGGTGTAACTGGTTTAAGCGCTTTAGAAAACGTAAATTCCATTTAAATAGGCCTAATTTAATCAACTGTCAACAAAAAAATCTTTAAATTGTCCTTATATCCACACCCTACTGCATATCGTCACCGAAATTGGATCATTTCACCATGAAAAACTACCGTATTCTGCAAAGTGTCATTTTTATCCATTTAAGGATTTTAGATGACCCTCAAATTTACACCCTAACCTGGATCGTCCCCTACACATTATGATATCTTCCTTGTGACTTGGGTTAATCTTTCCCGAAAGTTTTATTCGGATCAGTTGATCCGTTTCTGAAATATCTGGTCTGGGACGTTTTCCTTTAAATGGTCCTAATATTCACACCCTACGCCGGATCATCACAAAAATTCAGTCATTTCTTCACAGGACCTTTACAAACTATTATAGAAAGTTACATTTACACCCATTAAAAACTTGTTATAGATATTTACGTCTGGGATCTCAAAAATTTTAATGATTCTCCAGTGTACACCCTTGACTGATTCGTCGCCAACACATAATACTATCTTCCTTGTAACTTGGTTAAACTTTTCCCGAATGTTTCATTCAGATCAGTTTATCCGTTTTCGAAATATGTGGTATGTGACGTTTTCTTTTAAATGGTCCTCAGATCCCCACCATACTGCGGATCGTCACAAAAATGTGATCACTTTTTTACCAGACCTTTACATATTATAGAATGTTTCATTTAGACCCATTGGTATTTTAAAGAGATATTTAGGTTTGGGTCCTCAACAATTGAAAAGACCCTCAAATTTACACCCCTCTCTGGATCGTCACTAACACATAAAACTGTCTTCCTTGTAACTTCATTAAACTTTCCCGTAAGTTTCATTCACATCAACTGACCGGTTATTGAAATATCCGGTGTAGACTCTTTGACTTTAATTGGTCCTCACATACACACCCCACATAGAGTGACACTAAATATTAGCAGGCACATCCTCCTAATATGTCCTGACTGGACATAAGACACATAAGACACAGAAACAAAATATATATAAAATCAACTGGTTTTAATTAAATAAAAGTTCGTTTTGTATATCCAATGACAAAGTGTTGTGCTACCTCCCAGAATCTTTATCACTGTAATAATGCATTCGAAGTACAATTCATCTACTAAGTCTTGCTAACTGCTAGGGCTTTTCCCCTCAGTCTGCAATATCACTTTAGTATATTTGGTACATAAGTCTTGAGTATA